GAGGGAGAGAGGATTTTATCTATGTATCTTTTATTATATTAAAAATCATAAACAGAGATAGATTGCTGGCAAAAAAAATATCACATCTAGTTTTTATATAAGACCAAATTAGGTCATTTGAAAAGATTAAAAAAACTAAATAAATTACATTAAAATATTTACATTTGTCATTTTTTTAAATTAATTCACTTCATTTATAAATTAGTAGCATATAGTTTATTTCAGGTAAATGTTACTCTTCTTGTCATTAATATAGGACTTAGTTGTTGAATTAATTGTGGTTCTAAATACAAGATCTGTTTATCATATTTATCAATTTTTTTCTAAATTATTCACATAGATACTACCTCAATCATAATCAAATAGAAGAGGGAGAGAGGATATTATGAAAGATTATTATGGTGTTTTAAGAAAAAATATCATATTTCTTATAATTAACTAACTTACTTAATTTTTTTAATTTAATCAAATTAGTTAAATAGATCTTATACTCCTCCGGTCCTTAATTATTGAGTTGGTTTTGATCCTAAATATAAAATCCATTTATCATATTTATCAGTTTTTTCTAAATTATCCTTATAGATACTCCCTTAACCATAATCAAGTAGAAAAGGAAGATGGGGTATTAAAAAAGATGATTATGGTATTTTAAAAAAACCTGTCATATTTCTTATAATTAACTAACTTACCTAACTTCCTTAATCTAATCTAATCAGTCAAATGGGTCTAATATTAAGGACCGAAAGAATATTAAGGATCGGAGGAGTATATTATAATAATTAAGTAATTTATTTAATATTTTAAAATTAATTAATTGTGTGTAATGTTAAGAATAGCTGGATCGAAGGTAATATAACAAAATAGATATATAGAAATTCGTAAATCATATAGCTCGAGACGATATATAAAATATGTTGGCAAAAAAAGGAGACGATATATAAAATATAGGGTGAGGAGGTATTTTCATAAACCCCACTTCTTTCCTCCTTATTCTCTCACTGCTGCTCCGTTGAAGAAGGGGATCTCTGCTTGTTTAAACCAAACCCTAAAAACCAAAACAGCACAGATTGTGAGACTCGCGGGAGCCACGCCAAGTATAAGAGGGTGAGTCTGTTATCTGCGTTCATTAGGCGATGGCGGAGCACTTGGCGTCGATTTTCGGCACGGAAAAGGACAGGGTGAACTGCCCCTTCTACTTCAAGATCGGAGCCTGCAGGCATGGTGACCGCTGCTCCAGACTTCACACTAAGCCCACCATTAGCCCTACTCTTCTTCTCTCCAATATGTATCAGAGGCCTGACATGATCACTCCCGTCGTTGACCCTAACCAAGGACAAGCACTGGATCCCGACAAGGTCCAGGATCACTTCGAGGTTCGAATTACATTTCTCTCTGTATTTCGATGTTGTCTTTTCTTTTTCTTCTTCATATTTATTTTTGTTCTTTCACTTTTGTTATTGTTGGCTTCTGAAATCGGCAATTCTGGCCCTGAGAAGTAAGTATGGCATTTCTAATTACAAAAATTGTCGGTGAGTGCAGGATTTCTATGAAGATCTATTTGAGGAGTTGAGCAAGTATGGAGAAATTCAGAGCTTGAATATTTGTGATAATTTGGCCGATCACATGGTATACCTTCGCTCTCTCTCTCAGCTTATTTCTTTTCATATTTCTCTCTACTTGGTCTGATTATGTAATAATTTTTGTTTCGCTGGTCAGGTTGGCAACGTATATGTTCAGTTTAAAGAGGAAGACCATGCTGCTAATGCGCTGATGAATCTGAGTGGTAGATTTTATTCAGGTTAACTTCAATCTTCTTTCCTTTTCCTTTTTTATTGTCTTATAACAGGTTATCTTCCTCTTGTTAGTCTTTACGGTTGCTTTAATTTCCGATTGAAACTGATTTGCGGTGGACAGAATATCATAAGAATTGACTCATCTGGTATTTGTTGTCAGCGGTAATCCATTTAAACGAGAGTGTGCAAACGTATTTGATATATTACATCCTTAAAGTGATCATTTGTATCTATAATATAGGGGTCTTAGGAGTTAAATATTAAAGGAACCATTTTTTGTATGGGCTTCAGGCACTACTGATTTTTTCCATAGAAATATAATTTAGCCCTTTCTATCAATTGTGACCTAACATGACCGGGAGTTGTCTTAATGGTCGTACATTTCACTCGTTTGAGTCATTGTATGGACGAGGTTCAAGACTCAGGAAGAAAGTAAAGGTAATGTTCGCTGTAGATTTTATCTGGATGTGGTCAAATCTGATAAACTGCCCACGCTATTCTATTGTGGGATTAATTTTCCATGGAAAGGGTTTCCATGCTGTAGGTTTTCCATTGTATTAGTCTCCTTTTGTCTTGACAGCTATGAGCATATTGTGTTCACTGTTATATGATCAGTGAAGCGTCTAGTGTCTTGAGAATTATATCAATCATTTATTGTGTGCGCTTTCAACTTTCCTATGCTTTCTATCAATCATGTATGTATGTTGGCATGTATTTATGTATGTATATATGTATGTGAGTATACTTTCACTTCTTTATGCCTCTTCTCAGGGTTGATCAATTTTTTTGGTCTTTCCGAGTATTCAGATGAATCCCCTGTTATTATATTTTTTTCAACATTCTTGCTTGCATCTGATGCTCTAATTGGTTTAAATTTATCAACTTATTTTGGAGAAGTGGGATTTTTTTTTATTTTTAAAAAAGGGAAATTAGCTTCTGGTTCATGATTAACTGGGATGCATGATTACTATGGTTCACAAGACTGGTTAGTTGGCTTGCTCTCCCTTTCATCTCTCTTCCCTGTAGTAAGAAGGCATGGTTATGCCATGCATTAGAATTATTCCTAGGAATAAAATGGTATTTTGCTTGAAGTATATTGTGTTGTTCATACTTGTAGTTTCACCAACATTTGGGGATTGTCACCGGCAAGACATAAGCATGTGTAGATTATTTTTGCTGCACCTAAATTTTTTTTTCCCCACCAAAAAAAAAACCGATCTGCAAAGTGAAACACTGAGGACTGTATTGTGATTGAGGCCCCTGTACCCCACTTCAAACTATTGAAATTATCATCACTTCAAAACTTCTAACTTTGTATGACACTGCCAGGGCGACCTATCATTGTTGATTTCTCTCCGGTGACGGATTTTCGAGAAGCTACTTGTAGGCAGTATGAGGAAAATGTTTGCAATCGTGGTGGCTATTGCAATTTCATGCACCTGAAGAAGATTAGCAGGTTGGTTTTTCAGCATAGTGGGCTTTCCTTATCAAACATTTTTGGCACTGGCATGTTTGTTTTGATCATCTATTTACTCTCTGCTTTTCTGGTTTTAGGGAGTTGAGAAGGCGGTTATTTGGGAGAAACAGGCGGTGGAATGGTCGTGGGGGAAGCAGGAGCAGGAGCCCTCCAAGGCATCGCAATCATGATGACCGTTCACATGCTGGACGTGGTTCAGGTAGAAGAGATTATGACAGACATGGCCACCATGGTAGGAGCAGGTTGCCTAGGAGCCGTAGTCCTCGGAGAAGAACAAATAGAAGTAGAAGTCCTGTGGGAAGGGACAGGAGCCCTGTTAGAGAAAGTAGTGCGGAAAGGAGAGCTAAAATAGAGCAATGGAACAGGGAGAAGGAACTCGAAGAATCTGGAAACAGGGACAACAGAAACTGTAATGATAACGAACGGGGTGTTACTCAGAATGGAGGCGAATTTGATGACCATCGAATATAGTGGCAGTATCGTCACTGAGGCCAGAATGATTAAGACCCTGTAGTCAGTGTGGCATGTAATCTGGTCTGTACTGTTTGCACGTCCAGTAAGCGTAGTTTTTGAAGTGTGTCCTAATTTGGATTGTTCATTTAGTTTTTAAGTTATAATAGTTTGTAATATCTATATTTTTGCAAGTCATGTGGTAGCACCAAGATGGAATAGATAAAATTCAGTTTTCAGTAATTTTGTTCATACCCCAAGGTCATATTTGGAATTATGGGCTAACTTTTTAGGAAAATGGAATAGGAGAGGAGGAGGATGTTTTCATGGAGAGGCTATTTTTGGGTCAGAAATGTGTTTCGCAGGCATGAAGGAATTTGAAATGCTTTTTGGTATGGGGAGTTGATTATAAAGCAACCGGGATATGAAAGAAGGCGTCCAAGCGGAGCGGGGAGCGGGGAGCGGGGAGCGGTTAAGTGACATGAATAAAATATCAGAATTAAGTCTTAAAAGAAAAGTGTATAACGTGTATTGGCAAAGTGAACTAACTAGGAAAGTAGAATGTGCAAAGAAGAGATGGAGATGAGAAAATGAAAAGATGATTCTGTATTATTTTCTTGCATGACAATGCAAATCTTCTTGTGTCTCATGATAAATTACAAGTAGTTAATAATAAAACTCATGAATAGAAGTTGAGTTACAGAGCTAATAGAATAATGGAGAAAGAATGAGAATTATCTGGAAAAAGATGAGGAAAATGGAGGTGGACATTCATGCAACTTTTGATATGCAAAACAGGCCAAAATTTTCCCCCAAAAACAAAAGTCGAAAAATTCGATCGAAAGTCCCTTTTTCTTTCCTTTTAAATGCTGAAGATGGATGTACAATCTAGCAACAAAAGAACTTGGTACTCTTTTACTCTTTAACCCTACAGGAGATACTGCGATTGAGATTGGAGAAATTAGTAATAGAGTATTTGGTACAATGACGAAACTTTTGGGGTAGGGATTTGAATTCCAATTTAATTTTGGAAAGTCTACAACTGCTATAAGTACATCAATGAATGCCCTCTAATATCCATAATTATAATTCAGGTATATGAATCTAAAATTCCAATTTAGTAGCATAAAGAATTAACAAGTGTTGGAAACAAATTCACAATCCCCTCTCACGTTTGCGCCTTTAAAGTGGGGAGGTGATCACATATTCACTGTGATGAACTTTTCTAAACGAAATTTACGGTTATGCCCCGGTGGCTATTCCACAGCCTTCAGTTTAACCCCCACTTCTTCGAATTTTAACTACAATACAAAGCGCTGCGCAGAGGAGAATTTAAAATAGAAAAAAGGTTTGGAGCGCGTATTGTTGATTCATATCTCAGCTGCGGCTTCAGTAGCTGAGAGACTGAGAGGAAGATTGAAAGGAGCAAAGGGATAGAAGTGGCCTAGCATCTAACCTAAATATTGAACTCAACCAGGCCACGCATCTGAGAAAAATTTTAGTGGGAGAGGCAGAGATGGATCTGGGTTTTCTGATTCACGCTCTAATTCCGTCCTGGAACTCCGTTAGTGCCTCCATTCGTGAAATGAGTGTTCATCATTCCGATTATTTGGTCATAACGTGAAATTTCCCCTCTGTTCATTTTTTTCCCGCCTTTTTATCTGGAGCAGGTTGCTTTGCTAGTGGGATTCTTTGCTTACTTGGCGATTGCTGGAGCCATTGTGCCTGGAAAAGTTGTCCCTGGAGTGATTTTGGCGGATGGAACTCGTCTTCACTACCGCTGCAATGGTCAGTTTTATTAAATGTATGCTTCTTGTATCAGAATGTTTACGCGAACAGAAGAGAGTCAAGTGACTTGAGTAAATATACAATTTGTTTTTCGCGTTTCCCAGGTTTGTTCTCGCTACTTCTGTTGGTTGCACTTCTTGGGATCAGTGCCAATATGGGTTTCATATCGCTTACTGTATGTATTCTCTGCGTGTGAGCCTTCTGCTGCTTAATTCAGTTCAGTGCGATTGTCTTCCTCTACATGCAGTAGCAAACATTTCGTGACAAATAAAATACTGCAGAACCAAACACCGATTTTATTTATTAATTTTTATGGTGAACTATGGCAACTAAATTGCACATCTAAAGTTTAAAAACGAGAAATAATGCACGCAAATTGAAAGCAATTTTGAATTCACAGGAAAAACACAATAATTAGGATTTTAATTATATATATATATATATATATATATATATATATGTTGATGATGTTGATGATCCTTGCAGGTTGTATCTGAGGGAGGACTGGAGCTGCTGTCCGCAACTTTTATCTTCAGTTTTCTTGTATGTGAAGCTTAATGCCACAACTTAAAAGATCTTGTGGAATCTGAGTCATGGGTTCACTATGATATGATTTTCCTTTCCAATATCACGTGGCTACATTAGTTCGATAGGATGAAGTTTTAGTGGGGCGTCTATATCTTAGAGGCAGATGCTGTTGCTTATTTTATTCAGCTGTATCCTCTCATTATCATAAATTATGTTGGTAGTTATGCTGCATTGCTGAATGCTAACGGAGGTTAATTAGTAAACTCTTCATGTCAACGATAACAATTAGGTGAAGAATATACATCTATAGCCAACTTTTCAGTGTTATACCAAGGTGCAAAACAAGGTTATTCTCTGACTAGTTATAAACTTCTAAAATCCTGATGTCATTTTACAAGCTGCAATGTTGTGTGATGATAACTCATTTGAATGCCTGCTCATCTATTCTTATTGTTCTCTACAGTGTTTTACCCTCCTTTTCAGTTATTTTGTTCGTCTCTTCCATTTACACATGTTAGGTGACTCTGGTACTCTGTTTTGCTGGCTGCAAGTCACGCAGTAAAGATTCATCTCTCAAACCTCATATCAGTGGAGATCTTATTCATGACTGGTATGTGCAAAATAGTGAGGATGCTTAGGTTGACATTAACTCAAGATAGAATGGTTTCAGGTTTTTTTTTTCATGTATTTTCAGCCAACACCCTAATCCTGCGTCATATATGCTACAGCTGAGTTTGTTTTGATTTTTTTTTTTTTTTTTTTGTATTCTAATTTAACAGGTGGTTTGGAATACAGCTGAATCCTCATTTTATGGGAATTGACCTCAAGTACGCGATCTACTCATCACTTCCCCTTGTTTTTTTTCTATTCCCCCCCGTGTATTAATAAGTTACAAGGTGGTATGTATGTCATTTCTACCTAATGTATTATGGAAATTACTTTTTATCTAGGTATCTGGTAAATGAAGTATGCATGCAAGTTTAACTTCGTATCCTAATATGCATCATGACTGACTTTTTCAATGAAGAAAGCATATGACATGCTTAGCATAGTGTAATGGGCATAGTGTAATGGCTGTGAGGGTATAATTTAATCCAACATGTCGCCAAACCTTTAATGGAGTTATATTTTGCAGGTTTTTCTTTGTTAGAGCTGGAATGATGGGGTGGCTTCTTATCAATTTATCAGTTCTTGCAAAGAGTGTTCAAGATGGTACCTTGGGCCAGCCGATGATCCTTTACCAATTATTTTGTGCGGTAATCCAGAAATCATGCATGCGATCTTTCTTTAATGAAAAAATCTTTACTGCGGGTATCTGATGTGTGAATTTCTTATCTTTATATTCCAGTTATACATTCTGGACTACTTTGTACATGAGGAGTACATGACATCCACGTAAGTGAATTAATTACTATTTTTAGGAGATCCAGTAAAGACTTGGCTAAGAGATCGCGAGCTTCGTGTTAATTTAATTATTAGGCTAGAAAATTGCTGCCCACACCTCATCCCTTCTGCAGTAGGACGAGAAATATTTTATGTGCATTATTTCCTGTTCGATTAGACGCACTTGCATCATAGTTTGCCTCAAGCCTTTTTTCATTCTAGTGTAATCGTCTGTATGTGTGCAAATTAATATATGCCTTGTTATGTTTTTTGCTGGCATTTCAGTGGAATTTTATGTTGTTGAAATGCTTCTATGCGTAATATGTTTATTTCAACATCTCCTGTTACGTTTCTTTTAAGTGAAACTAGAATGGGTCCCATGTGGTGCATGGAATCCAGGAAATGAGTCGCACACCTCATGGCTCATGAGTAGTGCGACTTGTTAGAGTTTTGATGTTACACCCACACACCCACAGATTTGTTATTAAATACTTAAATCTCAATTCATTACATAATTCTTTTGTCCTGCATTGTTTCTGCCAGTAAATGGGAAGTTTTTACTCAACTATATATCATTCTTCCTCAGTCTTCCTTATTCACTGATAATAATGTGAGTCTTCTTTTGCAGATGGGACATAATTGCGGAGAGACTGGGATTCATGTTGGTCTTTGGAGATCTAGTGTGGATTCCTTTCACTTTCAGCATACAGGCAAGTTGCTTGAACAATAAATTGAGATGGGGAATAAAAAGAAAAATAAAGATTTTGCCAATGAAAGGGAGAAAATTCACTATATTCTGGGAAAAATGCAAGGAAGAAGCTAGTCTTGGAGTTAGATGCAGCTCTTATACCCTTGCCATTAAGTTTCCCAATTAAAACATGATAAGTGTATAGTTCTTCATGTATAATTTAATTGGAGAGCCGTACAGTTCTGTGTAAAAACAATATACTTGTCATGTTTTAATTGGGAACTTGATGACAGATGTATGGGGTTGCATATAAACTTTTTCCCCCAAAAAATAACAGTAATAGAAGACATGAGGAGAGTTTGTGACTGCATGTAACCTCATGACAGCCATGCTTCTATTTCAAATAGCAGGTCTTGATTTAGATTTACCTTTCCCAGGGCCGATTAACATTTTTATGAACTCGTGTGTTATAGTCTGTAACTGTTCGGAATTCTTGGGGGCAAACAAAGTTATTTAGTTTGAGCAGTTGTAAAATCATTTTCTTGGGCGACTTGCTCGAGCACTTCTTCTCTTGCCTTCTTTATACTCTGAAGTTCAGTGTGGGCAGATTTTCACGTGCTGGATTTGTGCTCTGTGTAGTCGTTCATTTACTTTTATGAAAATGATGTTTCTCTATTAACCAATACTAAGCAATGGTCTAAACTGGTCTTAAATAGTTTGGGCCTATATTGGTCTTGGTAGGATAGAGGAACTTACCCCAGCTATTCATAGATGTACCTTCTTATATAATATGACTTCCACAGATCTTGCATGCGTTAACGATCTGTTATTGCTGTTAGGGATGGTGGCTTTTGTGGAACAAGGTGGAGCTACCAACCACTGCTGTTATCGCAAATTGCCTTTTCTTCCTGATTGGGTAAGTTAACTATAGGCCATAATATCTTATTAGCGCATGAGCATTTCTTTATGGAGATCATATTAATATTTACTTTGTTGAATAAAAATGCATAGATACATGGTATTTCGAGGAGCTAACAAGCAAAAACATGATTTCAAAAAGAATCCAAAGGCTCTAATATGGGGTAAGCCTCCAAAGGTCATTGGAGGCAAGTTGCTTGCTTCTGGTTATTGGTAAGATTTCATCTGATATTTTTCTTCTCATTATGAAATGAGCATATTTTCCTGTTCTTCCTTATATTTTACGTTGTCAAATTATGTAGTTTAAAAAAAATCATCAATTTGTTTGGAAACAATGTGCATTTGTGTTTTTCAGAGGTTATTAAGTTATATTAATTTGCACATACTCTTCCGGTTCTATTTATAAGGCACAACAAAAAAAAACTTAAAATGCACTAATTCTATATTAAAATATAATAACTTTTTAACTTTATCCCTATTTAATATATACACTTTCAAAAAAATTATATACACTATAATAAGTAAAAGACAAAATAGTTTATTCATACTAAAAATTTAATAAAGTGACTTATAGAACAAATTTCTCTCTCTGCCTTATGAATAGGACGGGAGGAATAGCACTTTATGGTGAGAATCCATCATCTAGGGGTGAACGGAAGAATCATAAAAATATATATATAAGTTATTAAAAAATCTAGGGAGATTGAGCTAGTGAAGACTATACGGCTTGATTGTACCATTTAGTTTGACAAGATCCGAAAAAAAGAGCTGCAAAGAGGAATGCTGATTCGGAAGGGCAAGGTTTATTGGAAGGTAAACAAATGATAGATTCAGTTTGCCATTCCCATGTTTCACAAGGTCATGACATAGTCGGCATATGTTAATTCTTTTATTTTTATTATGATTACTCTTATTAATTTTTTAAGAAGGCAAGCATAATTTGAGGAGGGAAGAAAAAAGGCATCGCCAATCACTAGAACATGCCACTTTTTTGGCATTGTGCAGAAAATCTGAACTTTTTGTCAGTCGAAGTTTATGCTTTTTCGTGTCACCGTATCACGTCATGGTCACGGTAGAACTGTTGGGAGAAATTTCCATATTCTTGATCTTGTTTTGCAAGGAAGTTATTGATGCATTGAATTATTTTTTGTTGAAGGGGCATTGCTAGACACTGTAATTACTTGGGGGATCTGCTGCTGGCTCTCTCCTTTAGCTTACCCTGTGGTATAAGGTGATCTCTTTGATGTTGTTGGTGAACTTTCATATGAAAATATGGATACTAATTTCCATCAGTAAAAGGATTCCAGGCATTTATTGTTTGCTCATTTTTACAGTTCACCAATTCCATACTTCTATCCAATTTATCTTCTAATTCTGCTGATCTGGAGAGAGAGAAGGGATGAAGCTCGTTGTGCACAGAAGTATAGAGAAATATGGGCACAATACCGTCAACTTGTTCCATGGAGGATATTGCCTTACGTATACTAAGAACCTGGGCTTCAATGTGTCGGCTATAGGAGACCCCTGTCAGGAATCTTAAGCTTCCATGCTTTCTTGATCACATTTTGATTGAAGAGAAAATGGATCTCTTGCGAGAGACTTGCCATCGCATATTATGTGGTGCTTTTTCATCGAGAAGCGAGGGAAATTATCAAATTGGTTGTTTTCGTTTAACCCTGATCAGTATGTCTTGAGATTGAGCCAGGAAGAGCAGAACCGAGAGCTTGCAGCCTTAATCTTGTTCTGCATGAATACGAACTTGGAGAAATTCGATGCTTGCATTTACTTGTCCTGGATCCATTATAAAAAGAGCGAACATTGTTTTTACACTTCCCTCAATTTTCTCTCAACCCATTTTCTTCATCAATTTTTTTCCACATCCCAACCATAAAACGGGCTCATATTCCAATTTGATAGGATTATTTAAGTCCGGATTAAATTGAAGATCTCAGATAAGAATCTACTGGTGCATGAAAGGAAAAGAAATAATAGGAAAAGATAAGCATACTCGTATTTCGTTGTATGCTGGGAAAATGGACACTCCTCTCTCTGAAAACCAGTATCTATACCCGTTTTACCTCGCGGCCGTGAGGCTGGTAGTGTAGCTCATAGCTGCGTCTGATAAGCTCAGTGATGATCTTGAGCACGATTGCGAACGAAGATGCAGGAGGCATGTGCCTTGTCCACCTCTTGGCTCTGCCTTTGCGCATCAAAGGGATCCATCTAAGCAGAATCAACTGACTCAGTTATGCCTGCATCTACCGAAAAGTCATGTGGAAGGTCTTGGTTGGTGTGGTGGAGAAAACACATGTGGAAGCTCAATGCCAAATCTATAGAAAGAGTTGTGAAAAGAAAAAAGAAAAAAAAAGAAAGAAAAACTGAAACAAAATCAAGTCAAATTTGTAGGGCAGTTTAGAGTGGAAAGTTAATTAGGCGCGGTCTAATAAATTTATTAATTATATTTGATTGATAGTTTGGTGGAACGATCAGTGACTTGAATTCTTTAGCTGCATTGTCATTATCATTAGGGGAAGAAGCACGTGCACGTCACAATTGTGGACCCCGCGGGGCAGCGAAATGAGTCAAGTGCCGAGTGATCTCGTTCGGTCCATTAACAGGTGGAAGCTCTACAGCTGCGAAAACAAAAATGGAGGGACGGTTTGAGACGATAAGACTTCATTGGAATTTGCGGGTGGATAAATTCGTTTCATCCTTATCACTTACCTTTGACGCACATTTCCAAGTGCTTGAAATAAATTACTCTCACCCACAACGCAGAGAATCTCCATCATTTTTCTCAGAATACAGCCCCTGTCCAGGTGATTGGTATTTACCCTCCGTTTTTTCCCCCTCGTCCCATTTTGTTTAATTGAAAACTTCATTTGGGAACAATTACTATAAGAAATGATGCCTAAACATAAAATTGCTCCTAGAGCCACGTGCTCCCCCCCCCCCCAAAACTCATTCTTCAATTCTGTGAATAGTGTTAATAACATCCAAATTTCATACAAATCAAATGATGATAATTATTGGGAGAAATACAATCAAATCCTAAAAAATTACCCTAAAATCCGTTACTAATGACAAATAATGATAACTGATTTTTGCTGCTCACTTGTTATTAAGATTTTAAGATAATTAGAATTTTTTTAAAATCTAATTTCAATTCTTTCATAATTATTTATACCACCTGATTAATTGATTTTCTTAAAAAAGAAAAGTGTGTGGCAGCAATTCAAAGAGAATGGTTTAGCCGGTTGGGGGTGTTTTAATTTTGAGAGCCTTGTGCAGAGACCGCTACAGAGGGATCAGTCCTGTCATATTGAGATAAGAGTCAGTGGTCGGATTGGATAATATCGTCTTTTTGGAAGTGGATGATGACAAGTACGAGACCACAGTCACGTGAGAAACTAATCACTGAGCCAAAGCGCAAAGGTCGTCCTGCCCTGCCCTCCCCATTCTGGGCTTTTAAATAATTAATTTTGATTAATTAAATAAACAACTGTGGATGCATGAAAAGATCGCAGCATGAGACCGTTAACTCTCCGTCTCCATCGTGATCGCGCCTCTAAAATACATCTATGCGGAGTATTGTTAAGTTGCCGAGGTTAACATTACAGGTCACTTAACAAGTTTAATGCAACCGTTCAATTCGTGTGATTTTTAAAAAAAATGAAATTGAAATTATGAGTGGGACTGTGGGATTAAACTTATGATCTTTTATCTATAGAAGAGTATTTATGCCATTAAGCTACAATACGATTAAAATTAACACCACTCGCTCATGCCGAGTGACATGTCTATTTGTTTGGTCCACTCCAAATGGGCTTACCCTTTTACACACATTTTTCATAGATAGTTTATGCTTTTTTTTTCGGCTTTTAATATAAAATCTATTTAACTATTGTTTGATTAATTAATAAAGTTAAATAAGTTAGTTAATTCAAAAATATGACATGTTTTTTCTAAGATACTATAATCATCTTTCTCAATGTCCTCCCTCATTATGGTTGAAAGAGTATTCATAGAAATAATTTAAGAAATATTGATAATATGAAAAATATATCTTATATGTAAGACCAAAATTAACTCAACAACTAGATCTTTATATTAAGGATTGGAGGAGTAATTTCTTGTTGGGCTTAGCCTTGTTATGTTATTTTTTATAGTTTTGTATTATTTAAACTTGACCTCATAATAATAGCAGCCATCAAATGATTATATGAAAATAAAGCTATATAGTTATGCTTATTGTCAAAAAAAAAATCCAACCTTTCAGTCATTAACAAAAATAATAACAAATTTTTCAAATTAAATCAAAGTTTGTCCTTGATGCTTTTTCCTTAATGTAATCATGGTAAGAAAAAGTTGGTAAAGAAATGTGAGAGAACATTTAGATGGTTTGAGTTTTAGTA